CAAAATCCGTTTCTTCCACAGAAAGGCTCCGGAAACTAGAGGAACAAATAATGAGAGATCCGCGATTGAAACTGTCCTATTTAGAAGATGAGATGGGTGTTTCAAAACCAGCAATTTGTTCCATGTTAACTGAAGACTTAGGTATGAAAATGGTTTCCGCCCGTTGGGTACCAAAATTGCTTTCAGCATCTCAAAAACAGGATCGAGTCGACTTTTGCAATGCCAATTTTAATTAAATGAAGACTTGAACCTGCTCAATATTTTATTAGTTGCATATGATACTTGGGTTTACTATTATGACCCGGTGACCAAATAATAATACCCTCAATGGAAGCACGAGGGGTTGCCACCGCCCGTGAATTGAAAAGTGCAAAAATCTGACAAAAAAATGATGATGACCACTTTCAAGGATACCAAAGGTCCCCTCCTTATAAAATTTATTGCTGTAAATACTACAATAAATGGGGCCGTGTATGCAGGAACCCCGAAGGAGCTGCGTCCTTCGGTTGAAAAGAAACGTGGGGTCAAAATAAAGAGTTGGCCTTTTTTTAGACGACAACGCGCCACCTCATACCTGGCTTTTTGCGAGGGTTAGTGCAGACGAAAATCGCTTTACCTGCACAAACCACGCCCCGTGCAGTCCCGACTTGTCCCTTAGTGATTATTATTCGTTTCGAAACTTAAAGAAAAACATCAGGGGAAAACGGTTTTCGGATGATAATGAAATCAAGTCGTAAATTTTGGCATATTTTCGAGGTAAATTTTAATGAGTTATTGCTAGTGTTAATGTTAACCTACAGAACTGAAAAAAATCACAGCATTCTAAAAGTATTTGAAGTTTGTTATTTCATCAAAAGTTTGGTCAGAAACAGTGTGGAACATACATTTTGAAAATTAATAATAAAACACCCACGTACGTCGAAACTGATGAGGAGCCAGCTCCGAGCTTGTAACGTGCTCAAGATCCGGTTTGGCTCGAACTTTGTCGAGAAAGGGACCCCGCTCGTTTTGCAAAATTTTTGCATTAATCAAACAATATCTCTAATATTGCTCAAGAGGAATGGGAAATAATTCGATTTGTATAGTTGACCAATGAACACATACATATTCATAAAAACCCTTTCACAAGCAATAAAGCTAATAGAAAAAGATACAACCTGGTGAAGAGCACAATTTTTGAGTACTTGTCAACCTTCATCCCTCCTCAGTGACCTCGTTCGGGTTCAAGTAATCGGAAAACTACGATCAATTTCTCACTTTCAGGTAAAGCTCAATTAATCGCGAAACTTATGTCAAACTATTGCCCTTCGAGGTCACCGAGGAAAGATAATGGTTGACAAATACTCAAAAATTGTACTCTTCTTTTAATGTTCGCACCATAACATTGTTTACGATTGTTGTTTTCTTTATGGCGATTTCTTTTCAACAAAAAAATTTTATGATTCAGTTGGAGGAACGTTATCTTTGATTGTACCGTTTATAAACATACACGTTTGATTGATTTAAAGAATTGAAGCAGTGATGCTCATTAAAATCGTGCAAATACGTAAATATGTATGTATGCACTGCACATACATACATACATATGTACATTCATATATGCAAAAACTTTGGTGAGAAATTCAAATCATTATATTGAGTTTTATATTGTCAATGAATAAACTTTCAATTACATATATTCAATTATAATTATAAACCTTATGTAGGCTTAATGACATGTATTTTACCCCGAATATAATTTTAATAATTAGAAGACATATTTATTCAAACGGCCTCGTACCGTGCTGGGTATATATGCAGTTTTGAATGTGTATATTAATTATTGTTTATTATTTCTCTTCTCAACCAGGAATGTGGTAATTGTTACCACAATTATGAAAAGTATCGGAAAGCAAACCCCATTATGCCAGCCTTTGGATACATATTTTCATCGCCAGCTTAAGTATTTAGTGAAACAATTTTCTGCATATGAACTCCTTAATGAATATTAGCATCCATCCGAATTAGTCCCTAGAAATGGCATCATTAAAATGCACTCACTGGCACATTTCCTCTTATCCGCTCTAGCCTTAAAGGAGATGGTTAGGTATTGTTGGTTTTCAAGTGGAATTTGGATCGGATCGGAAAAACCTGATTTTCGAAATGTCAAAGACATGTGCTTTTCCTTCCATGCGAGCAAGTGCTCCTCCGTCGATTGCAATAATGATGCATTTATAGAGTGCACTTGGTGTCACAAAATCTTGTGTTACGATGAATTTTATCATCAATACCACATAATTAACTGTGAAAAGTGCACCTATTACAATTAGTGCACAATAAAAATTTGTTTCCTCTTCAATAATAAACTAGAAATTATTTGTTTTAAGAAACCAATGAAATTATTGTCAAGTAATGTTTATTCCTTCAATGAAATGAAAATACTGCTGCTAAAAATGAATAGAGTCCATTTTTTGTAATTATTTAATATTAATTAAGATAAGTTAATTAGTAATGCACAAATTAAATGATCATTTCAAAAATAATGTACGCATTGGAAAACTTTCGGGCATGAGAAACGAGAAGCGAAGAATGAGAAGCGAGTCATTGACCTAGTGAGGAAAATGGGAGTGAAAAATTCGCCGATTTTACGGCCCGTTTTGTCCTCTGTTGATGCAAATATCTCCGCGAAACCTGCGCATTGGCAGATAGTGTCTTTTGCAAATTTCATATTAATTAGATTTGTGATCGATTGACACTACTTTGGTCCAAATCTGTGAGCATACGTTGGGAGACCTCCATTGTAAGTAAGAAATGAGCAGTTTATTAGGTGCAAGATGATGCTAACTGTATGTACAACTCTTTGAGATCATAATGAGGTATTCATTGCTGCATCGGATAACATGCAGGGTAATTCCTAGCTGAGCATAATTCAAAAAGAGAACTTGCTGGATAATTATACTGATAAATTGAAGACGAAAGGAGAATCTAGATCAATTATCTAAATAACATTGTGCATATGGAAATATGAATGTGTATGTACATCACCTGAACTGAGAATTGCATAACCAACAAATATGCAAATAAATATAACAAATATGCAATTCTACCATATGTATCGGTACATGATGTATGTACCGATATGTTTTTGTGTGAAATGTACGTAAGTATGTATTTGCATATGTACATATGCTTACCAAGTCATAAAATAACAATGCACACTTAAATAAATTTAATCAACTTCTTTTAAAACGCTCTTCGATTGCCCAATGGATCTACATATGTACATACACACATAAAAAGTTAGATTTGTAGTAGTTCTACATAGTCGTCATTTAATGACTGACTGTTTCTTCAATAATTAACGATATTATGAAAAGATTGACGAGCGTGGAATATCCAGTATTCTAAATACAGTATGCTGAAAACAAATCCCTAGCATTGGCCCTATCCGTTTAATCGTTCTATTGCGTCAACGATATCTTTTTTCTCACAATGTAAATATGTAATGCGTATTAATTTATTTGTTATACATATATATATAATCATTCCACATTTGTTTAACATAACTACATACATACATTGTTGCATGTGCATATTTGCATGCATGGATCTGAAAATTATCCAAGTTGAGCAGGTAGTAAATTTGATGCCTTGCTTATCAATGACATAAGTATATAAAAATTACAGGAAATTTCATTCTTTTACAAGTAGGAGAATTTACTCATTTGTGTATCATAATTCAAGGTTGACAAGGCAGGGTATTCCGACCCCGGTTTTTACTGGGTTTGGGGTTTTGGGGTTTTACTGGGTTTTACTGGGTCGCAAATCAGTAAAACCCAGCGGGTTTTACTATGTTAAAGGGGGTTTGCTGGGGTTTTACTGGGTTTTACTCGGGTTTTACTAAGTTTTATCTAAAATTCAAATAGATAAATCAATAGAATCAGTTTGTAGGTGCATATCTAACTCGAATTAAGTACTCTGATTAATATTCCGTAAATTTCTATATTTATTTCGAATTTTTGTTTATGACCTAAAAATCATAATTTACAGCTTAACTTGGAGTTTGATCGAATTCGTATTTTTCTTGTGTTCCTGGCATTTTGAATTGAAGTTTTTTGATAAATGTTGATAAAATTCACTAGTTTAACAAATTGACGTAACATTGTAAGTTTTATTACTTCACCCCAAACATTGAGTAAAACCCAGTAAAACCCAGTGAAACCCAGTAAAACCCAGTAAAACCCCGGGGTAGTTGTTTTCAGAGTAAAACCCCGGGTTTTTCCGAACCCTGTGACAAGGGTTTGAGCAATTCCGATTAGAACGAATTTATGACCAAGAAACCAATTAATTAGTTAAACTAAGCAGTTCATAAATAAGCTATTGGTTTATACACATACATGCGTGAGTACTGTATTTTTATAATTTATAATTTACTGACTACATACATAAACATTCAGATAGCAAACAAATAAGTATAAGTGCAAAAACTTGGTCTCCTGATAAGCTATGCATGTAAAAACTTTCGTCTCTAGAAAATCAAACTTTGCTCATTTCTTTTTAATTCTCTTTTCAAGCTGAAAAGTTGAAATTGTTAGCACAATTATGCCAAGTATCGGGACACAGACCCCATTGAGAAACACGTTCGGGTGCGTTATGCCCCACCCTCTAATCATGATACAACGTAACACACGGATCGGAAAGGTGAGCGGGAGGCAGAAGCAGAAGTATCGGTACCACCAAACGACCGACTCGATCGGCCAAAATGTATCTGGAAAATAATACGAAAATTAATTTTGTTCATTTTGTCATACAAATACTACTTCGAGGAACTTCTTGCTATGTATAAGTGACACGAACCGATAGTTCTAGGTTGACAAAGGGTGTTCAAAATTTCCCATAAAGAAAGTTTGAAACATCGTATCTAATAAATACATATATTGATCTTAAACGTTTCAATTGTTTCTAAATTTTTAGTCGAAAGAATCGACGGACATTTTATTAACGCGATTTTCCATTTATGCTCAGCTCAAATTCTGTCTCGCTTCGAGACACAAGTAAACACCTAAGCAGTGTAATTAATTACTTGAACCATAATTTTCATAATTACGTACCTAAGTATACTCCACAAATTACCTGTAGCATATAGGAAAATCTGCAGCGCAGCAATTGCCACCATAATCGTATCCTTCGTTGAGATTTTCATGGACGCAAGCATAAGATAAAACGCGATATACACAATCCGAACGAGATAGAAGACGAGTCCGATTAATGCCAATCTTCCTTGGATTTGGTCGCCCCGATCCCACCAGACGGCCGAGACGAACAATCCCGCCTGAATTATGGTTAACGGAATGTCGGCAATGTAATAGGAAAGGAGAACTTTGTGAAAGTCGACTCCTGTTGCCATCGTTCGGGCTAATGTGCCATCACAGGTGTCCGTAACGTGAAAGAATCCCATCGTTACTGACAAGATGGTCCACATGCTGTAATAATTTGCGACATTAGCATGTGATAAATGATGCACTCTAAATAAATAATTTGGAATTGTAATTTACAATAGTAGTAACATTGGTACAAGAAATGTGTTCCACGTGTCGGACATGTTTCCATAAACGGCGTTAAACTAAAAAAATAAATTTAATCTAAAATTCTAAAAATTAAAATGTTTTTTTAAGTATTAAATACCGAAAAGGGTAGTGTGACGGTGCGTTCATCAATTCCATACTCTGTCACAATTTCTGTCATCAACTTTTGCATGGATTCATACAATGACTTCGTAACAAAGTAGGAGGTCATGTATTCTGTAAAAATACATTAATATAAATCCCTCCGTCATTAATTTCTTGATTAAAGTATAGTCCAAAATAAATAATTTACAATTTTCTACATAAACCTGAATTGTCTAATCGGATCGAAATATATGATCCATTTATGATTTCCTCATCGGCATTAATATTCCAGACAAACCGTTTCAACATGATTTCCGTAAAATTTACAGGGAATTTTAAATAGCCGGAGATACTCCCCGATTTAACGGCTTGTACCGCGTCGAGTACAGTCTGCATGGGCACCTTTATGAAAAAAGATTGGTTTTGCACATTGACGTTTTTTGCACGCAAATTCAGTCACCAAATTAATCTGAGACTTTTCTAAAATGTTCAGAAATTTACAGGCATACAAATCTTCGTTCATTCTAGCAGTCGGAGTTTGGTTGGCCCTTGTGTCGCAAGAATGATCTGTTATTGTCCCCAAGCTGAGCCCAACAGGATCATACCCAGCCATATGCAAAGCAAAGTAGATATTCACCAAGACGCAGATAATCTGGCTCGATGGTAACCTAAATTATGACAAGTAGCGATATGAACTACTGAACGTGTAAATACCATAATTTAGACGAAACTCACAAAGGATATCTCAAATAGATAGTCAAATTCCGAACGGTGAGTGCCTTCAGTTGAGAATAGTAGTTCTTCGAGTATTCCAAAAGATTAGAAATTTTAGATGGTGGTTTAGTTATTTCAAACTGTTGTATATTCGGACTTGAATAACCCTATTATGATAATAGGAATAATAGTATTATCGCTCAATCATTAGAAATTCTTTGTGCAAAATCTTACGTACATTGTTCCTTTCTCCACCGTGATGTCCACCCCGTCCAAGATCACCTTGTTAGAGTAGGATTTTCTGCCAGAAACTATCCTTAATGCTGCGACATCGTCCAAATTAGGCATTGCGAGGCTTGTTTTGAAACAGTTTATTATCGACTTGGCAGCCTACCTCCCGTTGGTGAGAAACATAATGGTCTCTAACCGAGAATTAGGGCACTCTACTAAATACCTCCGCGGGTGACAATTTGCGTCCCAGTTATTTAGAACGTATGTACGTACATAAATACATACATCAATATGTAAGTAACTAAATACATACATACATATGCAAATAATATTGTATATTTCCCCGGTACACATGCTACCTGAACAGGAAAACTATAATTTATGTACAATGCACATCCTTTTATTGTTAGTGTTATGTATCGTATGGAGTTATCGTATGTATTAAAATACACACATACATATGTAAATACCCTATCAAAATTGCAGCAGTTCCCTTCTGTGGATGTATACAATATTTGCTTCGTTGTTTCACAATTAATTTTGCTATAAAATTTTATATCTTGGAGACATTTAGTGTAATTCCCTTCGTCAACATGTCGATTCAGGAAGATGCTTAACTGGACGGGAAGAACGGGAATAAAACCAGTTTCTGCTACGAAATCCCCTTCTCTAATACTCCTCTGTGCTTTCCACCATCTACATATTAGACAATTTAATAAGGTAATCTTAGATGTAAGATTTATATATCTTGCTCTTTGAATTATGTAAATATGTATTTAACGAGAGAAACATAATGCAAACTTCAGATCCCTTTGAACCCTAAGTATTCTTCGCAAAATAAATTTATATATGTATAATGGCTATTTATATAATACATTGTAAATTATATTTGATATATTTTAATATGTTACTGACTGCTTGTTGGATGATAAATACAGGATCAAATTTTAAGGCTGTAAGAAATAATGACATTTATGTAAACGTTTAGAAAACATCTTTATGTATATATTGCCCTGGGCATGTCGTTTGAATACGTACATACATCTACTTCTTAATCCTTTGTTCTTATTTCTGATTTCAAGCAGAAAAGTCAAGCCGAAAAGTTGTAGTTGTCAGCACAATAACGTAGTCAGGCAAGTATTGACTTCTCGGTATAACAATTGCTACCGCTTTTTATTGAACCTGTACCGGCCAATAAAAATTTGCCACCGATATGATAAAACTTTAATACCCGGCTATTCCTGCAGGGAGTTACTTATCAATACCACTTTGTTATATATTGTTCAAGTGAAATTTCATATAACCTACTTAAGTAAGTTCGAAAATTGTCTTTAACCATTAGACAATCAGTATTGCATGACACGCATGTTTTTGCACACACACATACATAATATGTATATGTAAGTATGCGTCAGAAAGAAGGTGCTAAGGTGATATGACAGACTTTCACAATAATTAAAATATATTCTCGTGTTTAATTGCAAAAAGTGATTGCGAGTATTTCATCGAATTGCTTAAAGACATTAATACTTTTAAGCTTTCAACCGTGACCCAGCAACCAAGTCGTCCTTAAAATATATACATTCTCCAAATTATTTACTCACATATCTGCAAAAACTTAACTCGTTTTCTTGCTCCAATTTGGTGACATGGCCGCCATTGTACGTAAAATCATTATGCACCTTTACATTATCAGAATATGCTTGTCTCGAAATCTTTACGAAATAGTGAATTTTGATGACAAGATAAACTCGTTTTCCACCTCGTGCTACTTGGGCATTTCTTTCTTCAACAATTTTCACGTTCCATCGAATATGGTAACCGGAAAAAATCACCCGGAAAAAATCACCTCAGACAATATATCCCGGAAAGAATATCCTATGGATATAATCACCTATGTAAAAATCACCATTGGAAAAAATCACCAATTGAAAAAATCACCATCGGAAAGAATCCCCAAATTCCAAATTAAACAATTTGACATTTACTGTCAAGTGTATAAAAAACGAGTGACCATAGTTTGTTAAATTCCTGGAAGGTTCATTTTTTCACTCTATTAGGCCTAGGCAATGCCAGTTTTGCCATTCTGTACTCTCTCATCGCAGCACACACAACTGTAATAATAATAGCATTTTTATTCCGTTATAATCATTCTGTTGGTAAGACCAAAAAACTTTCAAATCTGATTTTAAGCATTTTTTATTAAATGAAATATAACTATAGAATATGGAAATGGAACAGCCACCACCATCAGAAATTGAGACGCAGACTCCAGGACTGAAAGTATTTCCATCTAACAAAGGGAAATATGTCGCAGCTTACAAAGGATTCATATACAATTTCCATGTCACTGGAAGCAATAAGCAAATTCTTCGCTGTTGCCAATACAAGACCAATTGTCATGGAAGGATCCATCTCAGCATGTCCTATAAAAAAATAATTAACGAGGAAATCGCCGAATTCAGCAAGCATAATCACGCTGGTGACCAGGGGGCAGTCGATGCCAAATATCATCAGTGGAGACTTAAATCTGCAGCTAAATCCAGCAGTGACACCACAAGCTCGTTGATTGCAATAGAGATGCAACAAATGCCACAATCGAGCCAAGACTCTCTTCCGAAGTTGGAATCTATCCGAAGAACTATTCGCAACGCTCGTGTAGATTCTACCTTACCAAATAAAGTTTTCTCCAGAGAAGAAATTCCAGACACATTGGCTAGTCATTTTAAAACATCTACTGGGGAGCTATTTTTGAAATATGATAGTGCATCACATCCGCCATACAAAAAGAAGGACCGTTTCCTCATTTTCACTACGGATAGAAATTTGGAATTTTTGCAGCAAAGTGAACACTGGTTTGCAGACGGTACGTTTAGAACGTCCCCTTCCCTTTTTGACCAATTATATATTATACATGGTACAAAGAAAATAAATGACAACTACGTTGGACTTCCGCTTGTTTATGTACTTACTCCAAATCGGAAGTCGGAAACATACCGATCCGTCCTCAATGCTCTCGGAACTCTAAAATCCGGGCTTGCCCCCACAACGGTTATGTCTGATTACGTAATTATGTATGATTACGGCAGCAATCAATGCATTTTCAACCGTGTACCCGGGTGCAGTACTGCGTGGTTGCTTTTTCCACTACGCCCAGTGTAATTTTCGCCACATTAAGAGAAACTCGGAATTGTTGGCAAAAGTTAACATGGATTCAGACTTCTCTCTCAACATTCGGCAGCTAATTGCTCTTGCTTTTCTGCCACCACAAGATGTTGAATCTGCATATCAAGAAATGGAGAAATCCAGATTTTTTAAGGACAACGAGACTGTGCTAGATGAGTATTTGGAGTATTTTTCAACGACATGGATTGGCTCATTTAATCGCAGAGGAGAAAGGAAGAAACCACTCTTTGAAATCAAACTCTGGAATTGCTATGATTCTTTATTGCAAAGTCTCCCTAAGACAAACAATATATGTGAGGGATTTCATAGAGGTTTTGCTGGCTTACTTTCCGTTCATCATCCAACATTGTACAAGTTGATAGATGGGTTGCTGAAGCAGCAGAGTTTAACGGATGTTAAGATGACAATGGTTGATATTGAGAATACTGATAAGGGTCGGAAAAAGTGGAGCCAACTGGCCATAAAGCTTAAAAAATTGGTGGAGAGTTACCCGGAACGGCGAGATACCCCATCTTATCTTCGTGGAATTGCAAAAACTACAGATTTGTAAATATTTTTTGGTCAGTTGTTTTTATATTAATCACAATAAATGCCAATTTTTTAATTTGGGGATTTTGTCCAATGGTGATTTTTTCCACTGGTGATTCTTTCCATGGGTGATTTTTTACATAGGTGATTCTTTCCATTGGAGATTCTTTCCAGGAGATATTTTCTGAGGTGATTTTTTCCAGGTGATTTTTTCCGGTAATCATCGAATATACTGAGGCCGTACCAGCTAAGCAAATACATTCCGGTGAAACGCTCTGAAAAAAAGTGAGCAATCTTAAATTTTTACACATTTATTCTGCAATTTCTTAATATTAATTGCTCAAGTATTTAAGTTTCTAATTTCAGTTCTAACCCGACCAAGGAGAATATTCTGATTCAACCCATTGACCCCATATTTCGTTCACTTCATGCAGGGCCCACCTGTCTCATCTACGTCATAATCGTGAAGTCCGATTTATCTGACGAATACGATACTGTCGTCTGGTATAGTTCGAAGCATTCAAGGTCACCAACGCTTCACACCCACTGGAACAGAAAGGGTCGAAATAGATACTATTCCTACTTTTATGCTGGAATGATTGCAATTTTTGGCAACAGTAGTGCCATCGGGACCCGTTCTAGGGTTTACATCGGGACTATTTTTAGACAGCCAATAATTTTGTTCATTCAAATTTCGTGTGAGAAGAGCAAAAATAATAGTTATTTTATTGAACCAAATGTCACGCTGTTTTGCAAAAATGCTAAATTAGCCGAAAACATAGATTTGTACCGTATTATTGCAGAGTGCAAGAAGTTAGTACGACCAGACAATTTGAAAGTCGGGTTTAATTGGAAACGTCAAGATTTCCTTAAATCCTTCACTGGCATGAAAAGCTACTCAATGCAAGACTCGATTAACGGGGTATTGACTCACATGCTAACTCTGGAAACTAACGCATCTGAGGATTCGAATAGAATTAAAATAAGTCATAATGTAGACATGACGATGGCATTTAGCCTCTCCACAGATTCGGATATAGCGCGTATTTCTTTCATTTTAATAGGCAATTGGTCATTCTCATTCGTCACGTGTTCATCCTTAAGTCAAGGTCGGGTTGACTATTGGGGTTATGTGAGACCATTAGATGCCTCAGTTTGGTACAGTTTAACGTGTTGCTGTCTTGCAATAACTGTCCTCCTTATTGGGCAGAATTACACTAAATATTTGGCCCTTAGTTGGCCTAAAATGGCTTACGCGACCTGTACCGCTCTGCTTGATGTTGGATTTCTCATCGGTGGGAGGTCTAGTTCCACGTTGCAGCTCAATGTTTCAAAGTCCCGCGTCTGAGAAACTACTCATTCTATGGGCATTGATGACCTTCGTGGTGGTAAATATTTACACAAGCATAGTGACCGAAGACACAACCGCACCACTGGTATCAGACCCGCCAAGGATGTTTGATCACTTGGTTGAAAAAGGATTTCGACTATACAGCATTCCCATTAGCGAAGACAGATACAAGTTTATCATACCCCAAACACTGATGACGTTTCGGTGGGGATTGAGTGAGTTAGATATAAATATGTCAATGCGGTATATAATTTGGGTGGGCACCCTGTCGAAAAAACTTCGTGGAGCCCTTAGTACGCTTAGAAATCACCGTTTGTGTGCCGCTCGGAAAACATTGGTTAAATCCTGGGATGTTGGATCATTGTCTTGTGAGGGTTTGAATTGGACTTTGTTCTATAAGGATAATTACAACCTGCTCAAACAAACAGAGCAAGAGTTTGAGACTAGTGAACTTGGCAGGATGGCGGGAATATCTGAAGTCCTGAATGCCTCTCTGATTTCCGACATTGCGGGGAAATGTGATAAAACCGCAGTAGTCGCACCGTCTGTTTACTTAAATTCAAAGAGCTACATGCTTAAGATTTTGGGCGGAACAAGTTCACAGTTAAACAGGAAACCGTACGTAAAAAGTATTGATACAGCTTTTTCTAGAAGGGTTTACATAAGGATTCAAAAGTGGGGCGATATAAGTGAAGCATTTAAGGACAAGATTGTTAGACTCGTTGAAGGTGGGTTTTACCGGTTTTGGGAAGACTTTATAATTCAGATTCAAACGACTGGGGGAATTTGGAGGAGGGGGAGGAAACATTTTCCCAGCAGCAACTGAATTCTAACATTCTTACGGTATTTTTCATATTGAGTATTGCGGCAGGTCTTTGTGTTGTGATATTCCTTGAAGTTGCTTTGGGATGGAGGGAAATTATTTTGGAGTGGTTAAGAATTTGGCTGCATGGCGTCAAGAATCTTCGTGATATTGGAGCAATCTTTGCCATTCGAATTAAATCGATTTTTCTAGACTGTATAAATTAGTTTATAAAAAGTACAATTACCGAAATAAGGATAAGTATTCAGTGACTTTCAAACTGTAAACACCTTTGGCAGTTTACATTTACACACAATTTACACGTAGGTGCAGCTTGTGTATCCATTCGGTACCACCTTGGACACATTTATGTATATCTATTAGGTACGCCAGTAAAAGTAAATGTAAAAATTACCCCACAAACTACGGGTGAGCTTAGGTAAGGAAAGTGAAATTACGCAGTGTTAAAAATTCTGGTACATAGATTCATAGTCACATCCTTCTACATGGCATTGTTCTGGTAATAAATTTCTACCAGATTTGTATTAGTTTGTTTCTGAGTGGTATATTCTTCGTTGCTACAACATAACCGTTTCACACATTTTTCATATATCTGGTGAAATCGAGTCAGTAATGATTTACTACCAATTTTCTAAGAGCGTGAGCAGATTTAAGAATATTGATTTTATTTATCGATTTATCAGTAAATTATATAAATTATAAGTAAGTTACTAGGTGGCCCACTGAAACTGTAAGTGAAATGAAACCCTGTGGCTTCAACAGTTTTTATGTTACGAATTTCGAGTTAATTTTAACCGAAAGCCAGTTAATTTCTGAGTAGAAAACAATTTTTAGTTTTCGAAATTTCCTCCCCTGCCATTAATGCAGCGCTGAGGAAACCGCCTGCAGTTCTCCGCTGAAGCACGCACTAATTCCTGGGCAAAGTGTTCCATTCCGTGGTCAAAAATTTTTTTCCGATCTCTACACTTCTACGAGGCTTAGAACACACATTTGCCCCTAACTTTGACCATTTTTCATAATCCGGAGATTCAAATCCAGAAAGTAGAATTACCATTTCCGAGAGGAGGAAAAGTTCGGAATTTTGTTTTTTACCCACGCTTGGGTCATTTTTTGCACTATAAGCTGATTCCTAGTCCTACTGCAAGGTCCAGTCGACTTCAATGAATTGGATCTCACTTAGGGGATGTACCGCGGACTCGAAAACGTATTTTAAGAAATTTGATCCCCCCACCTTCCCCCCATTTTCAACAAAATGTAGAGAAATTGCCCCAATTAGGTCCCACCTGCCAAAATCATCACAAAGCTTGGATAATGTGGCTTTCTGACCTTCTGTCTATATTGGGGGATGTCTCTGACAGATTTGGCGTAGATAAGGCCAACTCGCTTGTTAAAATATTTTTCCTATGTGAAAATCTCCTCATCTGTAAATAGAATCCTCGTCACTTTTTCTGAGCGTACCGCTTGAAGTCACTCCTGGGTTTCTTTAATGTGGTTTCCCTTTGGGGGATGGTCGGCATGTGGCAAGTACCACATTTCAAAGTCCTAAGTCTAAGGTTCAATTTAAGCACTCATTGAATAATCTGCTTCTACACTGGCAGCTGTGAGGTTGGTTTCCGTTGGAATTTCGTGAATTTCTTCGGATTCCATCCTTCAGCGCCTTCATGATGGGTGTGGTCCTTGTAGGATTTCAAAAATTTTTTCTTCGACTGTTGTTAGTCCACCCCGTCCCCATGAACGTCTTTATAGTCTGTTGGGCTAAATTATACGGCTCGTTCGATTCCTGCCACACTTTTAAAATTCGCCATTTCTCTCCCCATTTTTGTAATGAAAAATTTTCGCCGCCCGCTTCCATTCAACATTTTCCATGCGAATTTGCATTGCAAATAGTAAAAAACTGATTTATGGTACTTATGCAAAATCGCACGGGGAATCCAATGCAATCATCAGATTTTCATTATCTCTGTCGGTTTCGAAGAAAACAGCCACTTACAGTTACAGTGGGCCCAGTATGTATATACTTATAAGAACTTGTTTATTACGTGCTACATCTACAGAAGTTCGCACATACATATTTACACACATATTAAGCAATCAATTAAGTAATCAAATCAATTTACTGTTCAATGACGCATAAACAGTTTTCATAGTAGCCATAATCTTCCCATAATACACTTTTCCACAAAATATAGTCGTAATAACCATCTGTTTTACCACTAAAACATTAATCTCAATACTTCCGACGAGTTCAACCCAATCTGTGAAGGGAAGTAGACATACCCCTCCTGGGGTTGAAACGGCATAACAATCTGGATGCGAAGTGTACGCAAATTCCGCAATTTGACTGCAATTCATGGAAACTTCTCCATTAGCGATTGGTTCAAGGGTCCTTTGTAAGCATGACATTGTCCTAAACATCCACGTTTGCCCCATTGGAGAAAATTTTGACAAATTTTTAACAAATTTGGTACAATATTTATCCCCAAATCCGGTTGCGTAGCCGTCTTTCCCGCATGGAATAGATTTCTCGAGACAACGCGAGTAGAACGAACAGTCCCATTCGTACGAGAGGCATCTGCCGGAAGTTTGTGTCGTGTGAGTTACAGTATTAGCTGAGGGAGCACGGGAAGATGTATGAAATGCCGTTTTTCCTGAAATCGTGTAATATTTAGAACATGATTAGACAATATTTTTTTCATAAGAATTGCTACATTTAAAGCAATTAAGTATTTTTATGTGTACTATTAGACGTGTAATTTGACCAATGGTCATCTTTTCTAGTCAGATAATTTATTGCTACTTGGTTGATACGATTTTGAATGATTCCTCCATCCTCGGATCGTATGGGGTTAATGATGCAGAGGGCAAGGTTGACAAACTTGCTCCATACAGGAGCAAGTTCGTGCTCCATTTTTCGGCGCTGCACGTCAATGTTATAAGGATATGAAATCAGGTTTTCCAGCGGCGGCAGCGGAGTACAATCGGTGGCTTTAACCTCTGTCATGAGGTCGTCAGTTGCGTTGTGACCACTAGTTAATAAATACAAAATAAAATTGTACCGTACTGACAGCAGGCTACATAAAATCAAAATGTAACTATTGACATACAAGTTACACATAAAAAAGTGATACATAAATATGTGGATAAATATGAATACCTTCTTGTAAAATAATAATTATGTCCGATATTCATAATTGATATTAAAATCAATTCAAATATTGAGAAATCCATTATTAATTGTATAATGTAATATAGTTTCAGTCTAAAATTCCCCGCATGTAAATGCTACGACCATAAATATGTTTGTGTTAAATATATAAATATGTACACAATTTTTAAAATTTTGAATGCAGCTTGAACTTAATAAGAATTCGAAACAAATGTGTAAGCTTTCCCAAGTAAATTTGTCTATTGTATGTCTAACGAGGAAATTTATGTAGTGCATCTAAAACGTTACTAGCTTAATAAATGAACAGTAGTTTTTGACCTAATTTTTAGAAGTGTAAAAAAGATTGAGGAGAGTACCGTATTGACAATATCCTCGTTAAAGGTATGTATGTACAATATGCGCTTATTTCCTAAATGGATTGTACCCAGTGCGGGATGAGACGGTCAAAAAATCATGTAGCACGTATTTTACCCTCAACGACGATAGTATCTCTAGTGTTTTGTAATAGCTAAGGAATTCAAATATATGCATAAATGAATCCCCCGTAATGACGTTGCGTATTCAATCGTTTTATTGCTACATATGTATACATACATCAACCAGGATAAATTTTTTCGCACGATGCAAATAAGGCAAAATTAATTAGCTTAGCTTAATTAGCTCACATTTTTCCTACAACCTGTTCATTTAATATGTACGTATAAGCACTTTCATTTGCATAATGCCAATTGATCTGAATATTATTCGGCTTGATCAACTAGGAAATTTTATTCTTTGTTTAATATCTAAACTACGAACTAGGGGGAATATCAGATTTTTGTAATTAGGCGAATTTGCACATTTGTAGTATAAATTTTATATGTACGTCATATCTTAAGTTAGGTTAGGAAAGGGTTGTTCTATATTCTTCTTCGATTGGAATCAAATCATGAGGAGTAAATAATTTAATTTAATTCAGAACTGTAAAAATCATTGATGATTTATGTACCATATTTTGTAATTTACTGGCTACCTACATAAATATGAGCATACTTAAGATTAATAAATACGTATCATGCATATACAGCGTGGTCCAAATGTCACGCTAAAGTGGAAAATTTTTTCAATGAGAAAAATTTGTAAACTTGTATTACAGACCTAAATAAATTTTGTCTCTGAAATTCAACATAATTTTTTCTTAATAAAAAATAAGCAAATAAAAATACTATGTTGACATTCTGTATGAAAATAATGATGTCACTGAAGTTAGTCATTCAAAAAATTTCACATCTTCTCCTGCATGTCTTGATGATTAATGGCAGGTAGCATTCTAAATGTTGATTAATACTTAAAGCAAACTTTTTCTTCGGTTTTTTTTTACTAAAACTCCGTGCAATTCAATTATTGTCGTCTTACAAGTTGTCTTTCGAAATATTTTTACAAAATATTTTCTGGTTGTGAGTCGATGTCAATCGGTTTCGGGTCAATGCGTATTTTTGGTTTTGATTTTTTTTGCATGCACATGCAGTTCAATTTGTTTAAAGCAAATTTAGTGAATCGTTGAATCGTTAAACCGTTAAATCCATAAGTTCATATGTCGCTAATTTTGTAACAACTTAAAAACAACGCCAGGATATAGGTCCAAAAATTCCTTCATTGTCGCTGCATCTGGAAATATTCGGTCCTTATTTCTGCAAAAAACACAAGTCATCAAATTATTAGCTTGTCGCAAAGCACAGATTTTAAAAGTCATTAAATATTCAAATCCCTCGAGTATAAATAAATGCATATGTAAATGCATTTTGAAACAATACACGCAGTCATTGGCGACTCGTAAAATCGTTTTGTAAAATTATTATGCAAATTATTATTACGTTTTGTAAAATTATTATGGAAACTATTAAAAAATAAAGAGACTCCCTTGATCTGACAAGGGACACTCACGACCTGTCGTTTGAGTCCAGGGGACCCACTATGTTTTTTAGAATCTACTAGGACCCCAGATGAAGGCTTCATTCATATTTCCGTGTAAAACTCATATTTGGCGCCATGGCGTGACGCCAAATTCGCCAAATTTGATGGTTTTTCATTTTAAAACCGCCGTAACTTTAGAAATCCTGGACGGATTTTCAAAATTTTTGGCAACAATCATGACAAGGAGTTCAACTTTCGTATTCTATGAAATTTTTTCCAAAATTATCGCTTTTAACTTTTCGCAAAATTTCGAAATTTCGGGTTCGTCGAAAAAATGCTACAAATATCTCAAAAATTAAAATTTTTTTATTTTTATTTTTTTTCTCTAAAATTTCGACTTTTCTGATCATTTTAAGCATAAAATTTTAAAAATCCGACATAAACTGCAAAAGTTATGGGGGTTTGAAATTGGTCGAAAATGCAAATTTTTAAGTTTGGCGCCACGCCATTGGGCCAAATATGAGTTTCACACGGAAATATGAATGAATCCTTCATCTGGGGTCCTAGTAGATTCTAAAAAACATAGTGGGTACCCTGGACTCAAACGACAGGTCGTGAGTGTCCCTTGTGAGTAACATTACAATAATTTGGGAGTTAATTTTTCTTCGAAATGTTTGTCAAATTTTCCTAAAGTTCATAAGTTTACAGAAATAACGGATTTTACAAAGTTAGCAAAAACTGCGTGAATTGCTTCATTGGACTATATCATCCTGAATAAATACTCACATGTAACAACGTTATGATGAATTTGTCGCCCAATAATTTATAAACTTTGCATGAATTTAAATTTGTATTGCATAACTCACCTGATCATAACCCTGAGCGCCTGCTCCTTCAAAACGTCTCCGTTGTAAATGTCTCCCAAACAATACATTTCCGTAGCATTTTCCACACCCACATTTTCGACGAGACTCTTCTCGCAAATATATTTCAGCTTCGGAACATCATACTTTTCCGCGACCTTGAACAATTCCTCCATCAGGAGGTGATCATCCTCCGTCGAGTTAACCTCCCGGCAGTACAAAAAGCGTAAAAATTCCTTCAAAACTGGGGCAGAAATGTCGTCCACGATTATTTTTCCTCCTTTCGCCTCCTTCATGTCGTGTGCAAACATTCTTTTGAATACAGTGCTCTTACCTGCAAAATTGATAAATAATTGCACACAATTTACATATGTTTGCATGAAAATGGGGGGTCTTCATTATCGTTAGTAAATTCATCCAAAAAAAAACGAAGTTCGCAAAAAATAGCCTGAAAAATCATTTGCGAATTTGCGCATCTCAAAGACTAGTTTTATCTCAGATTTTTTTGCGATGCGAACATGTGGAACAAATGCAAACTAAATAGTAGCCTTGTTAAGAAGTTCGTATGTAAATGAATTTTTGTGCCAATTTTTTTGGGAGCATGCAAACTTTGATTTTCTTTGCTAACGATCCGCACTAGTGTAATATTGGTATCGAATTATCTTATTCGTAGGAAATGAAGTAAGCAACTTACTGCAGAGGAGGAAGCGATGCGCGGGAAGTTCGACATTCTCATCGCAAATGAACATAACATCAGACTCTTTTCGTGATAAGAACATGTTATCAAACCCGCCAAAATTTGCATCGTCGCCGTCCACACGAAGCTGCAGTTTCATGGGGAGGTCTGCATTCGCATAGGGAGTAACCTCTCCGCCTGATCATTTTGAAAAAAAATATTCAGTTAGTACATAATATATTCGAAATTCATAATACATATATTCCCACATCGTTAGAAATCTGGTTTAGTCAGGCAGGTATTGATTTCTCGGTATTAAAGCTTGGTATTAAAATTACACGGTCTGTAAAAATTTGCTACCAATACGATAAAGCTTTAATACTGAATAATTAAATAATTTCAAGATAAATCGTCACCCACAGTGGAGTCATATTGCACAATTTTTGGGTAAAGATTTTTCATCACCAGCGGAAACTTAGTCAAAATCTTATGTACAAAAACAGACGCCTGTATTAAAAAATTCAATATTTTCGTGTAAAACAATCTGGTTTTTAGATAATAAACATGCTGAATTTAAAAAAAACAATGTCACGTGTGTTTGGTTCATAGGTGTTTGAATCATTTTCCACTGGTGACAAATCCTCACCTTAAGTAATTATTATCAAAAAATAGCTGACTAAAGCACCTGCATACATACAATTTTTGTACGTGGGTGTGGGTGACGCTTTGTCACCCACGGAGTTAAATCGTATTTACGAGGGAACCTCTTATAGTGCCCGGAGCTCCCAGCATATCCACCATATACATTAGACGCAGTTTTTAATACTAGTCCTATGATGTGACAAAATCTCCGTGTCAAAATGACATTTGGTCAAGCGGTGACGATTTTAGTGACACGCCGAACGGTCACTTTCTCGCATGATTTCAATAGCGCAGCTACTTTTTGCCACACGCTCCTCATTTTGCTACTGAATTCTTAACTCATTTACTCACTGAGCGCACTGGTACTTAATTTAGCTATATTTAAAATAGAATTACAATTTACTACTCATCAATATTTTTTTCTGTTCGAATTTAAAAGTTACAAAATGTTCACGCGCATTTTTTGAAGAACAAATCCCTCTACTTGTTTAAATTCATAAGAAGTTGCTGTATTTTTCCGCATAGTTTTTAAACTCCAACACAGATATTTGAAAGGAAAAAACAATATTGAAAACTTGTAAATAGTAAATAAATTATAATCATACATATTGTAAATATACATAGTTAAATTAGATGCCAGTCTCATCGGTGAATAAATGAATTGAGATTTCAGTGAGATAAGCGGGGACGTGTGACCGTTCCGCGCGAAATCATGCGAGAAAGTGACCGTTCGGCGCGTCACTAAATTCGTCACCACTTGACCAAATGTCATTTTGACACGGAGATTTTGTCACATCATAGGACTAGTATTAAAAACTGCGTCTAATGTACATAGTGGATATGCTGGGAGCTCCGGGCACTATAAAAGGTTCCCTCGTTAGACTACAAGGCATTACTTATTGCTAGCGTGAAATATTGATGAATACCACTTGGTATCATTTAAGGTGGTATAGTATGCGGATTTTGAGTTTGAATTGTTACGTCTCAACTTTCCCTTCTTCCATATATTCAAATGGCGATTTTGAAACCTCATTATCTTCGTGAGTTGTTTGCAATATGAAGATTTTAATGCACCTAAAAATCGATAATTTTTAGGTTTACAAAGCTAGGCTATTGTGATTTTGATTTTTTTCTTCCATGAGAAAATATTTAAGTTTTACTGATTATTTTTCGTCTATTTCATATTTATTTTCTCGTGGAAGAAATGAATCAAAATCACAATAGCCTAACTTTGTAAACCTGAAAATTATCGATTTTTAGGTGCATTAAAATCTGCATATTGCAAAAAACTCACGGAGATGATGAGGTTTCAAAATCCCCATTTGAATATATGGAAGAAGGGAAAGTTGAGACGTAACAATTCAAACTCAAAACCCGCATACTATACCACCTGAAGATTAGATTGCTAAGAGTGTGCTTATGAGGTAATAAATATGGATTTTTGTAAATATCAATTTCACTCACGTTCGTGATACACGATTCCATGTTTCAGCCTCAACGCGTCCACTGCATCGTCCCAAGGTGATTCCGAATTCCAAACGGCGGCGTAGCGGTGGAACAATTTGTCCCCGATGGGCACGGGGTCAACGGTATAGCTTAGCCGGGTGCTGTATACGGGACGAAGTGGGGTGGGCGATGTCGACGAAAATAGCTCCAAACGGCAGGTACGTAACTCGAGAAATTTGTTTGGTTGGAATGGAAGGTACAAAGACGCGTTTATTTGATCCGGATAAATCCCGACGCTCCTGGAATTGAGGTAAGTATGCCAATTTTACTTTTACATATGTAAATGAGCATGCTAATTTTTTTAATGAAGCATAGCTAAATTACAAAATACATAATGGTGGAAAATCTATACTCTGAAATACATGCATATAACCATGCGAATTAAAAAGAGAACTCATGTCAAAGTTTTTGCTAGTTGCGACTTGGTAAAGTGTGTAAGCCTTACGAACTTTTTTTTACACATTTTTAAGGAATTTTTGCTTACGAAATTTTATGAAAATTGCATATTTCATACAAACGCATGTTTTTGGTTTGTAAGGAAAAAAATCTTATATAATATCCGTGTCCGATGATTATTGAATTTTCGGTTGAAATCATCAAGGTTGCAATGGGTTAACGGCTACGATACCTTTTTTTTAGTAAAAAGTGTTTACAAACCAGTTTACAAACCTTACGTAGTTACAAATTTAACGTAAAATCCCTCAAAGCGTATTTTAATAAACCGTAGTAACGTTAGAAGTAGCTCACCCTGTAATAATGATTTGGTTATAACTTGCCCCAAAGGTGCAGAAAAATGCAACAAAATAGGTGCATAATTTTTTGCAATTATGCACCAATGGTGCAGAAAAATCCAACAAAGTGGATCAATAATTTTTATGCAATGTTGCACCAATGGTGCAGAAAAATTAAACAAAATAGATCAATAATTATTACGCATCGAGAAGAGTCCAAAAATTGTACCACACAGGTGCAGAATTACCTATCAACGATGATAATTTTGAAAAATTTATGTCAAAATTGTATGATCATTTCTCCCGGATATTCTGCACTATTGGTGCGTTTTGCGTCCCTGCCTCCAATTATTTCGCATCATTTTGTGTTCCCGATTGTTAGATATCAACTGTGCTATTAACTTGTTAAAAAATTTGATTCGGTTTGTTTAATACCAATGGTGCGCCTAACGTATCCAATAATGGTCAAGGGGCTGCTTAATTAGCATCAATTGATGCAAAAAGGTCGTTAACATACAGACGGACGGACGGATGGACAAGAGGAATTCAATAGCTCCCGTGCTACGCAGGGTGAGCTAATAAGGGTATTTACAATTGTCTAAATAGGTATGCTTACGACGCTTTACAAAATTTTGTAACCCTTATAACTTATTTTCTTAAATGTAAAAACTAAGGATGCGAACGAAACGTGAATATCCTCAATGTTTATTAAAAGACTTACAAAGTATGATCCATTGTCGAGAGGAATCCCCTGCTGAATTTCAAATTAGGAAAGATAAATCCTGAATTGGTAACTCGACTTATATTGTCCTGAATTCTGGAGCGCTTCGGAATTTTAAAATTCCAACTGAATTCTTCATATAGCTCGTCCTTGATCTAGAAAAAAAAATTATTAATGAATGTCCTTCGTTAAAATTAGGTTATTCAAAATTTTCTGCTAAATATGTACATGTCGTGTAAATTAAATATTAGTGCAGCGTAAAATATTTTACGAAGACAAAACAAGGAGTCAAGCTTGGTAACCTAAAAAAAATCGTATCCTTAGCAGTGCAATTTTCATAACAAAATTTCACGACGCTAACAAAACCTGGTAACCTTCATGAATTAATTTACGATACGAAACAATCATGAATACCCTCAATGCCTATTTATCGTAATTAATTTAATCAGTAAAATAAAGATTTGTTCCTACCTGAAGTTCGGAGGTCTCCATTTTGTCCATGATTTATGTATGTATTGCACAAATTAAAAATTATTTCGTAATATTATCTTTCGTAAAATTTTTAATTTTTTGATGTTTGGATAGATTGTAAAGATTTTTATTGTTGTGTAATTGCTAATGCAAATGTTGATGTCACGATAGGTCAACGTGGACTGAGAGATGTTTCAATTTTGTCCTTAAACTTATACCCTTCAACTTTTTTAACCTAATTCTATTTCCTATTGTCACAATGTATTAATTTTAGCCCGTTTTAGCCCATTTTGTTGATCCAGATACTTTTAGACATACGTATATGTACATATGTATACGTATGTCAATCTATTAATATTTAGAGGGTCTATTTTTCGCAGCGATCTGATCGATTGGGTAAAAATATAGAGTTGAGTTCTTAGAATTGGAGAGTTTTTCCTGGACAAAGTCATCCTGCGGGTAAGAGGTGACGGAAGGGTTCTTTCGTTCATAACCACACAGTAAGGGGCATTTTATAAGAATGCATATGCATACATATGTCTGTACATTTGTCTGGATATATTTGTGCATTGTATGCTTGCATGCTTTCTGGAAGCCAAGTTTCCATGGACAGATTGTGTTAAAAATATACATGCCCTCAGTCAACTCTTAAAGAAATAAAAAAAAAACTTAATAATTACAAAATAAATTTCCTCTATGTATAATATACTTTAATGAATTTATTTTCACAGTATTTTTGAAATAGATGTTAAATGAAGTTTTGGGAAGATTTTTTTTACTATTTTGGTCCACACTTTATTGCATAAATAAACACACTGTCAAATCAAGTAAAGACAATTATTTCAGATTAGTTACATAACTACATATTCTAGAAAAATAAGTTAATTTGAGGGCATGTCATAAAGTTACAAGTGGGTTAATCTAGTAAATAGCATTTTATAATGTGCGCCATCTTTGCATACTTATTTAAGGTCAAATTGCTTTATTCTAAAATAAATGTATATTTCTATCGTCATTGTATCTTGGTTTCAATATGTACATGTTTTTAAATGTCTAGGTTTTTAATCGGTGAAAGCTGCTCAGAAATTGTACATATAATGGTTACTCACGCACATATAAATTCACGCAGCCGACGCCAAATTAATCATCTGCGTTGACCACTGTATAATTTGAAAAAAATATCAAGCTCAGCTAAGCGACCAAATTTCGTCATTTGTTCAATGGAACCATTGGTGGAAAAAGCAGATGGGACATCAGCACTTTCTGAGCACGCAAATACGTAGATGTGATGGACCAATACAAAGTTGACCCACTTTATACGAGATTTATTTCGTGTACAAACGTTGTCCAATGACCGATTAAATATTTATTATGTTGGAATGCAATCCAACCTGAAATCCATGCAGGATTTTACCTGGTTTATTTGTTCATTCCCAATCTCAGTCAGATCCACACAAGGTGTAACCTTACATTAGTGAATCCAAAACTGAAAGAGTTAGAAACATCGAGGTTCAATTTTCCTTAGAAAAAATTTATGACCATTAATTCCTTCATGAAAAACAAGAAATTTGAAAATTTAGTAAGTCCAAGACGATTTTTACAAAATACAACACCGATTTTGTAAGGATGTGAAACAGATTTTCTACATAGCTGACTTTTAAGGAGAACTTGAAATTGGTTAAATCGAAGGCCAATTTTTACCCAGTTTTACAAAACGAGAATAACCTTGTTTAGATGCTCTACATTTTATACATTTTGCATATTATTACATTACCTTACCCATATTTTTTAGCACTTTAACTGCTCAACGTTTCCATTCGGATAAACTGTTTCTGTATTACTCAGTGCGATGACGCCAGTAGGAAAATCTTAAAATGCATATCATTTTCAGAATCTACGTTAAATTGTCTATAAGACGAATGTATGTCATAATGAGAATTAATTTCCAAAACAGAGATGACTATTGATTTATGACTTTACAAAAAGAACGATTTACATTTTTGCTTACTGTACATAGGTATATACATATGTATCTACATACTCTAATTGAGCACAGGTTTTTTCGATATCATACATATACTTAGGTAAACACGTAGTTACAGTTCTAATTCTTCTTGCACATGTACATAAATATTCTGTAAAAAATACAATAAGGTAACTTTGCATTCGTGGGTTCATACTGCACCTCCCAGTCGCGGCGGAAGTTGGGGGGAGGGGGCATTAGCATTATGCGATACACTGGTAAAATACAAGTTTGCTGAAATTCTGTGCGATCATGTTTTCTGCATCCGCCGCCAAGTCATTGACATAAGTGAAATTTTACTGTGAACTGATTTGCTTTGTATATATAAAATTCTTAAAAAAGATCAACTTCCATGTAAAGATTAGAATTATCAAACCCCTGTTTAATTTCGGACACCAAAAAATAAAACCAATACATAAAAACATGACATATCAATTTCCCAGCATGTATGTATGTAAATGTGTGTTTAATTCCGATTATAAATGAAACCAGGACGTTGATCTATTTATTTATGGACGTTGTATAAATATTGCTCACGAATAAATATGTAACCGACCAAATGAATTTATTTCTGTCAAACCTAGTTATTATGCATATTTACATACACTCAAAATAAAATGGTGTCAATCCAGCGCGGTGAAGTCACATATAGACACCGCGCGGTGTTAATACGGGCCATTAACACCGCGCGGTGTCTATATGTGACTTCACCGCGCTGGATTGACACCATTTTATTTTGAGTGTATAGAAACAAATTCATCAATCACTATAAGTCCATCATAGACATTATTTATTGAAAATAAGGGAACTTCCATAAAATATCGCGTAGCGCAAAATTTACGATCTTGCCATAATTGGTTATTCTTCTTTTTAACATATGAACTAAGGTAACCTGCAAGGGCCGGATGACTCCACTGCCTAATTTATGAACGTTCCCTACCTTAGATTGAAGGATGAATTAATTTGGTACAAATTGAAATGTACAAGTTTATTATTAGAAATTACCTTTCCCACATTACAACCAATGTTACTAAATATATTTATACTGACAGTAAAGATTCCTATAAGCCTATTCAAATAATCCCGACAATCGCCACCAGCCCATGACATATACATAAATATACATTGATTCAATTATCCAACTATAACCGTTCCTTAAAATAGCAAATCTGACTATGTACGTTAACTTATTTCGTTACTCATTCCTAAACCTAATTACAATGAGCTAGACATCCATTCCAACACAAGCTTATCATACACTCTGAAGATAATCGTTCCCTTTCGAAAAGAAAATGCACCCTCAATTCTGTATTAATTAAACTATTAGAGTAAACTTTACCCTTTATCAGGTTAACTTTACTCCACATATTGATTTATCTGGTATTTTTTTTATTTGACAAAGAAATCCGAGTACATTTACTTTTCAGTGATGTGAGATTATTAAGCGTGCAATTTTACTTGTTGTCATGGTAACCCAAAATCAGAACCATTCCCACCCAGACCCGATACGCTTTTAATTTTGACACCATCATTACAATCTCTTAATCCATCCAACTCGTTAATCCCTTTGTAATACTGCAATACAGCATATATTCCAGCAAAATGATACAAAAGCCAAACAATAATTATTCCAATTGTCCAATACGCATCCAAGTGAGATTACGCGTGGAGAAGTATTAGCGGTACGCCGGAAATGGAAATTACAGTCAGGCCGCAGATAATGCAAGGGTATCCTATTTCTTGGATCGACTTAGGCGACGTTCCCTCCCGGCAAAGGTTGACGAGTTGCTTTGAAAACTGTAATATACACGAATTACAGAGTAAGAACGGGAAATATTTAAGAATTATTTTCTCTATTAATAGTTTATACCCATTTGATTAAAACCAGAATGATGGAACTGATAAATTGGACAAGAAGAATTATTAGGGGTACCCATTTGGTCACACACTCCTCCCAATTTTCTGAAATTATAAAAACGTAAGTACGTATGTATTAAATACATGTGTCTAAAATTCAGGCATGCAGTTTCCATGGTTACGTATGCGTAATTCATGCTGGTGTAATGTAGGTTAGTACTGGTCATCACAACAAACAAGATAAGAGCGAACGGACTTAAATACATAAACGATTAATAATCTCAACATCCTACCTAACTAAAATTAACACACTTATCATAGTCCACGTAATGTATTATACATCACTTATTATATGGAATACATTATCGATTCTTCCGTTGTCTATGCCATTTCGCGGATTATATTTATCAATAGGTGAATGTCCTACGCTTTGTAACATGCGTTGAAACGATTTATGAACTACTATATAATATAAAAAATACCGTAAAATAACATGACAGTTTAGTCTAGGAATATGGTAATTTTCAATGGTTTGCCACATACATACATATATGTACCTATGTAAGTATTCCCAACAACTGTATGTTTTTACAATGTGCATATACTTTTACCTGAATTTATTTCTTATCCGCCAATAAAATAAAATTATATAGTGCATTTTGAGGCAAGTAAAATAAATTACATCCAACCAAAAGAGAATATGAAAGTCTTACCACAAGCTCGGAGATAATATGCGAGCAGAAAATTGTACCCGATTAGGAACAATGCTGGTACAATCTATACAAAATTGTACACAAAATTATTAAAAAGCTTGTCTTCCTTGAAAAAATAAACCAACAAAGAACTAACCAAATTGATAATGTAGAAAATATCCACAAAAAATTTCCAGACTGCTTTGCAATATTCGATGGTGTTCATTTTGACAGAATCGTCTTTATATGCGTGTTGTGAGGCAAGACGGCAAGAGAGGACTGTAAAATTTTTTGATTTGAGTTTTATTCACCTGTGGATGATTTGCTCCTGGTGATACATTTGTTTGTTTAAAATTCGCCAATGCGTTTGTATCTTATCGCAATTCAAATATAAGTCTTGTAACGAACGAATCCTTATTTCGATATGTTTGCAAATCATATCTTATCAAAAATATTTATACTGACTAATGCGCCTTTGAAATGATGTGTATTAAGAAGCATTTTTAGCAACAAATATTAATCTTACTTATTGTTGCTAGGTTGGGTTGTGAGCACCATGCCGATTAATTGGTGACGAATGTATGGATTAACATATGTATGCACGTCATCACGATTAAAATATTTACACTGTCTGAATAAGGTTGACCTGGATATTTTTTTCTTTTTAGGAATTATTGCGCGTCATAAGCATTTGTCGTCATCCTTATGATTATGTTTGTAATACGATAATAATATTCTAGGTATCACATATTTGCACTTCAATTCTATGCGAATAAAATTTTATACTTAATTGAATAAAACATTAAAATTACGAAACCAATTTGTCAAATCCCTTCTACAAACCCTGATCATCGTAGGGTACATGTAAAAGTTTTTAGCAGAACATTTAATCTGTATTAACACATTTTGAAATATTTTATACACCTTGTATGGGCCACACATTTATATAGATAATGATTTTGATTGCATAATTGTCCCTCAATTTAGGTAGAAGCAATCATCCTTGCTTTATGTATTTGTGGGAGAATGTAATGGGTGATTCTGTTTTATTAATTGTTTTATTGTTGTCTGTTAATTTTCGATTTTTTTTCGAATTTCCAAAATCGCTCTTGCTGTTAAAAACATTATGAATCTTTTGGTGAAAGTAGCATTTCGATATCTTTACCCATTACTGACAATGAGGAGGTGTGAGGTGGTTATCGCCGATATCCACCGGACTAATTTTAAATTGTTCTCGTTCAAAAATAAGTGGACCCGTATTTCTTCGTTTTCCTGAATGGGCATGTTTACGCCCTTGGCGGAATTTTCAAAAAAAAATTTCAGCCAAAATTCAGATTTTGAAACACTGTCACTTTTCGAATTTTAATCCGATTTCAAAAAACAAACCCAATTTGTGCTCAGAATTACATCCCTGAAAATATACAAATTCATTTTTTTTAACTTTTAATTTTCAAAAAATTGTCTTTTTTTGGGTTTATAAAAATACAGAAATAGTATGAAATAATCAAATTTTTAAAATTTTTAAAAACGAATTTTTATTTTCAGGGATGTAATTCTGCACACAAATTGGGTTTGTTTTTTGAAATCGGATTAAAATTCGAAAAGTTATAGCGTTTTTAAAAGTCCGAATTTTGGCTGAAATTTTTTTGAAAATTCCGCCAAGGGCGTAAACATGCCCATTCAGGAAATCGAAGAAATACGGGTCCACTTATTTTTGAACGTGAACAATTTAAAATTAGTCCGGTGGATATCGGCGATAACCACCTAACACCGTCGCATTGTGAGAAGTCTGCTGCCCAGTTTGAAGTTTATGCTACTTTCGGCCCCTCCCCCTCGGGAAACGGGTAGAGTTGAACCAAACCGTTGTACTCACAAAAATCGCCCCTACACTCTAAGAAACCCCGTAACTAAATTATTACCAGGCGGAGTATCTATCGATGTGACTCTACCGCATGGTAATTTATTCATGATTGATTGGTAGAAAACCGGTTATTACCAGTTTGGTAATAAAATGTCTACCACTCAAACTCAATAATATATTAATTACCATGTGATAGAGTCACAGATACTCCGCCTGGTAATAACTTAGTTACCGGTTTCTTAGAGTGTATAAACTCTGCAAACCATAACAAAATTAATTTTGGTTGTGTCCCTCGAGATTCCGGTTTTCATTATTGATGCACAAGAGCAACACGACAAACACACAAGATACATAATAAATATGCATGCATGGCAACAGTTTTCCTGCAAAGATAGCGTGTGTGTACAGGAAAAATATAAACAAAATTCACGAATGTTATGTACATAATCCAGTCTAACAATGCGATGGTGTGAAGTGTAACCCTCCGATTTGGTTGAAATTTCGAAATTACGTGGACCATGTCAATACAACCAACGTTTCTTCAGGCAGTTTGTGCGATGGTTAGGATTTGGAAAAATATTTGAGGTCAAAGTTGAAAAATGTGCAATTTTTAGCACGGAAATAGAATTGAAGTTGAGTTTGCTTCCCCCGCCTGGTAAAAATCGCCCGTTTTTCAACTTTGACCTCAAATATTTTTCCAAATTCTGACCATCGCACAAACTGCGTGAAGAAACGTTGGTTGTATTGACATGGACCACGTAATTTCAAAATTTCAACCAAATCGGAGGGTTACACTTCACACCATCGCATTGTAAGAGTATTAAAATTTATAGACTAAAATTTACCCGATTAATATGAACAGGTGATACTTTTATTACATTTAATTCATGTTGACCGAATCAAAATTCGCTACATACATGGTAAAACTTTAATACCGAGCTACTTATCACTATAGGATATTACATACTTATCAATACGGTTAAAATGGTATAACCATTTTATCACCGAGAGGTAACTATGTATATGTAACTTTACGGCAATGGTGCTAGCGGTGATAAAAAGTACCTACCACTACCATCCTGATGATCACAGCTACCGGATTATGGTAGAATGATAACCGTTCAGTCGCTTATCAGCTGGCCTTGTCAAAGTCGTAGATCGATAACTGAAAAATAATTTCGCTATTGCACACATATGTAGAAAGGCTTACATGCTTTATCACGCGTCGTTAAATTATTTTATTTTGTAATAATTTAACTTTAAGTACACAAAACTGCTTGTAACCTTTAAAAGTTTCAAAATTGTCATGGACTATAAAGTAATAAGGATTGCATTACATGCATTTGCATATTTACATATACATATGTCCTTTCGGAATTTAGTATCGACTGCACATTGGCCCTTTCGGAATTAGTCCGACGATATGTATGTACACTCAAAATAAAATGGTGTCAATCCAGCGCGGTGAAGTCACATATAGACACCGCGCGGTGTTAATGGCCCGTATTAACACCGCGCGGTGTCTATATGTGACAACACCGCGCTGGATTGACACCGTTTTATTTTGAGTGTACATACATACATATGCATGTATGCATCAAATGGCACGCAGGCATCAAAAACTTTCGTGATAATTAAAATACGGTTTCGTGTTTAACTGCGAAAAAGTGGTACGAGTATTTCGTCGGATTAAAGTCTTAAATATTTTTAACTTTACCTGATTAAGACAATACTTACCACGGTAATGTATCGTCTACCATGGCCCACCAAAGAAGTCTTTAAAATGTACATATATTCTGTAAGTTATGTACTCACATATGTACATATCTGGAAAACTTAACTCGTTTCCTAGTTTCTATTTCTTAGCATGGCAGCCATTTTACATAAAATCGTGATGATGCACTTTTGCATTATCAGAATATGTTTGTCTCAACATCTTTACGAAATAGCAAATTTTGAGGATAAGATAAACTCGTTTTCCTCTTCGTGCTACTTGAGCATTTCTTTTTTTAAAAATTTTCACGTTCCATCGAACATACTGAGGCTGTACCAGCTAAGCCAGTATATTCCTGTGAAGCGCTCTGATAAAAAGTGAGAACTTATGTACATATACCGCTGCATATGTACCAGGGTATTCCTACCCCGGGTTTTACTGGGGGAAGGGTTTCGGGCTTTACTGGGTGTTATTTAAAATTAAATCAGATAAATTCATCGAATCAATTTGTAGGTACCTATGAATATTACTCGATTTATGTCCTTTGATTCTTTAATTTCTATAAGATTTTTCAGAATTTCCTTTATGACTGATAGATCAGAATTAGCAGCTTAGCCAGCAGTTTAATTATACTAATGCGATGTAAATAGGGTATTCTTCGCATTTTTATAGTTAGGTTTCATGAAAAATACATAAAATACAAAACACGAAATAAAACAAATTGAAACCCAGCAAAACTCCGGGGTAATGGTTTTCAAGGTAAACGTCGACCGGATCTTTCCTATCCCCGCTACATACATGTTTATTTTGCGATTTATGAATATTTATTGCTCAATGAAATTTCAAATTTCAGCTCCAACCCGATCAAAGAAAACATACTGAGTCAACCCATTGATCCCATATTTAGCTCACTTCATGCAGGACCCACTTGTCTTATCTACGTCATCATCGTGAAGCCCGAGTTATCTGACGAGTACGACACTGTCGTCTGGTATAGTTCGAAGCATTCAAGGTCACCAACACTTCACACCCACTGGAACAAAAAGGGTCGAAATAGATACTTTTCCTACTTTTATGCTGGAATGATTGCAATTTTTGGCAACACTAGTGCAATCGGAACTATCAAAAGAGCTTTGACCCAGGCGGTTTTTAGGCAACCAATCATTTTGTTCTTTCAAATTTCGTGCGCAAAGAGCAAATATAATAGTTATTTTATTGAACCAAATGTCACGCTGCTCTGCCAAGATGTCAAATTAGCCGAGAACATAGATTTGTATCGTATTATTGGAGAGTGCAAGAAGTTAGTACGACCGGACAAATTGCGGGTCGGGTTTAATTGGAAACGTCAAGATTTCTTTAAATCCTTCACTGGGATGAAAACCTACTCAATGCAAGACTCGATGAACGGTGTATTGACTCATATGCTAACTCAGGAAACAAACGCATCTGACGGTTCACATCAAATTAAAATAAGTCACAATGTCGACATGACGATGCCGTTCAGCCTTGTCACAGATTCGGATATGGCAAGTATTTCCTTCATTTTAGTAGGGAATTGGTCATTCTCATTCGTCACGTGTTCATCCTTAAGTCATGGTCGGGTAGACTATTCGGGTTATGTGAGACCATTAGATGTCTCAGTTTGGTACAGTTTAACGTGTTGCTGTCTTATGATAACTATCCTCCTTATTGGGCAGAATTACAATAAATTTTTGGCCTTAATTTGGCCCAAAATAGCTTACA